GACAATTATTGAAGACTAATTGCTTATTGTTACTAGAACTATATTTTAAATGTGTTTTTCTTTTTAATTACTCTTGGAACAAACGAGGTGTCCTTAATTCAATTGTGAGCTGCTTGGGGATGGGAAGCCTGCCATGAGTCGGGCAGCTCCAAGGTCCTGTGAAAGCGGTTGCCTCTTTAAATAGTCCACGTTCATGTTCAGTTGTCCCATCCTCTGCCAGCTTTCCTGGTTTCAAGTCTGTGCTCTGATGCCACTTGAAGGTCTCAGAGTTACAGCTGCTTGCAGGAACTTTCCCTGGTTTATCCCTGAATGAACAACTGTATATCTCTGTATCTGGGTTTGCTATTGACTGTAATGACTTTATGCAGGGGATAGATGTGGCTCAGTGTTTTGTCCGGACAGAAGTGAGTGACCGTGAGCATGTTGTTCCAACCCAAGGTGCTTAGGTCTGGTGTCAGGAACAGATCCAAACCACATGCAGGAGGTTTTACACAGAAGAATAGGAGGCTCTCGTGTTATTAAATACTCTTTTGGTGTTGTCTTGATGTGACTAGTGGGGAACAGAGATTTTATATTCATAGAAGAATCTCCTGCAGGGGTGTTGTGAGCTCTGAAAATGCTGCAGGACCGTGTAGTGAACAAGCAAATGTCACCAACCTTATTTTTCTGCGTGTAAATAACTTGTATCATCAGTTTGGAAAATGAAAGGGAGTAAGTAGGTACAGGGGAAATGAACAATGTTTAAGGTCAGATATTGGCGAACATACGTTTAAAAAAATAATAATAAAAATCAGAGATCCGATTGTGTTACAAGAATACTTTCCCCAAAATAGATTGCTAAAGCTGCCACTGACCTGACACTCAACAGAAAGAAGAGACAGGATGCTTACTTGGTCAGAGACTGGCAGAAGCCATTTGTCCCGTACCCTGAAGTTGTCCATCCTGCAGGTTTTTACTCCATTTCAATCTCTCTTCTATTTCTATTATGCAGAATACTAGAATTTGACTGAATTGTTCAACCTGTTTCTAAAGGACTGACTCTTCCAGCTTTGTGCAATTCTATGTTCCTTACAAAATCCTGAACAAAGTAGCCTGCAACCAAGCAGAAGATGCTCCAGGCTGCATTGCTGGCCCTTTGATCACTCTTGTAGGACAATTAGAAGCAAAACTAGCCCAGGCAGACAATTTAATCAGCACTTTAGATTTAGTGAAAACAAAGTACCTGAATCATTCTGAAACTTTCACTGTAGCAGCTCTGGCTTGGGCTGTCGGTCTTTGGCTTTCCTCCATCTAAGTATCTGATGCATCTTATCTGGAGAAGTCAGCGTTATTGCTCTTCCTCTCCCCTCTGTCTCTCCCTGCTGCCCTTTCTCCCAGTGTGCAGATCGAGAGGAAGAAAACTTGCATTTTTGAGCAGTTCTAGCAGCATAAAAAATAGATGATTGACTAAAATTTCCCCGAACTGTCCCACAGCAGCTGAGCAGGGCTTGCTTTGCTGGTCTTGAAGATCTGTTTTATCTATTGCATGAGATTTATTTGCTGCTCTGGGCCCTCTTGCCTTGAGTTTTGTTGACCCTCTCATCTCTGCAAAGCAGCGTCTCCAAGGGGTGTTTGCTCGAAGCCTCGAGCCAGGTTCTCAGTTGTGGTGAATGATGGAAGCCAGTGTGTCGGCATCAGCTGGGGATCCCACCTCCAGCATAAAACCGAATCGCTAAAGGAAAATTCTCCATCTCCCAATGTAACAATATGCAGAAACACCCTATCTTTATATCTTCCTATGCGGCTCATTTTTCAAAATCAGCCCAAGCCTGAGTGAAGGATGTAGATGCTGCAATTAGTATATATTTACACTGAGGGAAAAAAAATATATATTTATATGCATTTTTTCCCCAAATCGAACTTTCACATTGATGACAGGGGAGTTGTGTGCATGGCAGACCAGTTAGCCATGACTCCGGGCTCTGCATGTGCAGACAGGGCAATGGGTTGCCAGTGCTCAGATGGAAACTTGACAGAACAGCAACAACAACTAGCTGGATGTTAATATGAGCGGAATAAATCACATCAAATGTGATGTGCTTGGTATTCTTTTCCAGGGTGCTCCTTTGGGCAGTGTAGACAGAGTGTGCTTTGCAGGTGTTTTTCTCATGGAGTGGTGGTTGTCTTGCCTTTGGTAACATCCATTCCCTTTTCTTGAGAATTTTGAGGTCCTGAAAGCCTGAATTCTGAGGTATTATTTTCATTAAATGGTTGTTCAGGTTGCTTGTGGTATCAACAAGCATAGCACATATGGTGGACCATAAATTGCTTTTTTCAGCTAAAAAGTGAGGTCACATCTTGAAACCTATGGATCATGCAGGAGAGGAATAATCAAGCAAGGCCTCCTGATGTCCTATCTCAACAGCTCGTCTTAGCCTCATCCTCCGCCTCCCAAAATTGCGTAGAAATAGTTTTGTTCCATCCATAATCATTTAGAACATCCTAAAGATTAAATATAGCACACTTCCTCGGGTCTGTCCAACATGAGTTTGTAGATTATAGCTTTCCTTTCGCCAGTGGCCATCAGGCATTGCAGAATGGTGCTGGCCCATAAAGATGCTTTGCATAATGGCCTTGTGCAGGAGAATGAGAGCAAAGGAGAGAGAAAAGTGCCTTGGCTTATTACAAAAGAAGTTGTTTGCTTATTAAAATACACAGAAAAGAACAAACAAACCAACAACAGGTATAGCTTTTAATTAAGAGGTAATAATTAGGCCTTGGTGTTGTTCTCAATAGCCACTTATTCCACTTTGAGCTCTTTCTATATAATTTATATACTGTAGTTTGCATTGAATTGATGTATTTTATTTTTTAGGAATATGAAAGAAAATTAATAGGGATGAGTCAGGCTTAATTGCTTCCCCTTTGCCTGACTTTTCTATTTTTACATGAAGGTATGGGGAAGCAAGGCTCCTTGCTGTTATTAGAAGCAAAGGTGGAAACCAAGGGCGAAGGGCTCATTTATAATTCTTGTGGCAGAAGTTTGAATGTAAAGCTCCAAGGTGCCGATGAGCCTCTTGGAAAATTAAGATCCATCCGCTTAGCTCAGTGAGTTCAGGCTGGTCTGGGGAGTTAGCAGTTTTCGAAGGTCTAAAAGACACCATGGATGGAGAAACCAGAAATATATATATATATATGTGTGTGTGTGTGTGTATACACATTTACATTTTGTAAATATTTTTTTATATATGCATATATATATATAGTGTATATATACGTACATTTTAATGAAAGAACTTAGCTTACAGAGAGACTGGAAAGCATAAACTGATATAAACTCGTGAATTCATTACTTGAGAAAGAAACAGCTGGACTGCTGTGGAACGAGGTTGAGAAATACAGTGGTTATATGGAAATACGCACAGCTATTTTTGTGTTTAAAATGATTCAAGGCAGTTAAGATTAGAGCGTATCCCAAATAATGCCTGCTACCTTTCTTCCATATTCTTTTGTATCCTGCATGAATCCATTTGATCATAATTTTATGAAGTCCATAATTTTATGGCACATAGAAGAACAGCATTTCTAGCCCATACAGTGGTGATTATAACGTCCTCTCCTTCTCATCATCACGAACAAGGCATCTCATTGGGGAAACGATGTTGTGGCATGGGGCTGGTCCTGGCTGGGCCATCAGCGTGGGTTTTGGAAAGCCATAGAAGCAGCACGAGCACCAAGGGTTTGTGCCCTTCCTCAGTTGAGTCTCTTCCACCTGGGGCTTGATGCTACATGTCATGACTCTGGTCAAGGAGGGCTTTCCAGCTGGGACAGCTCATCTGTGTCACAGCAGCCTCTGGAATTCTTGTGCTTTTCTGAACTTGTTTCTTCTCAATTATTGCCTGGGGATACTGTGCTCAGGCTGTTCGATTTGCTAGGCCAAAGGGCATCACTACAACATGCTTCAATTTGGTGGTTTTCTTCTAAGGCAACAAAACAAAAATTAGTTACAAAAATCACTTTTGTGCCAAATGTTTTCCCTCTGGAAGTTCCTGAAGCATAAGGAGAGTCTATTTTCTTGAAAATGGGGGTATTACTGATGTAAATCCAATGCTGTCAGCAGAGGAATAATATGCTGCATGTCACAAGGCAAGCAAATGAGTCATGGAAAAGCCTTCCCTGCGGGTGCATGAGGTTGTAGGGACAGGTATTCACACGGAGCATGTTCTTTTACACGTGCCCAGGGCTTTTTCTTATCTCTGAACATGAACCTGTAGTGAAATAGAAATGTTGCTGTATTAATAGTGCATCGGAGATAACCCTCATCTGAAAAAATACAGTAATACTGCACAACTGGGAACCTTTCCGAGCGAGGAATTGGACTAGCAATTTCCTAGTGTGTTAGTAATGAGATGTTCTGGCTCTGTATAAGCAAATGGGCAAGGTTAGTGGACACATTACTCCAGCTGTCATTGTCCCAGCAGTAACCAATTTAGAGGCTTTACATCTTCTGCCATCCCAGGGAGGGAGAGAAACCCACGAAAGGTATAAAGTTAAAAATAGAAATCCAAGAATGAATTAAAAGTGCAAAGTGTGAACAAGCTTGTAGTACTACTGTATAATTTTAAAATCCCAATTTTCCTTCTTATCTGGACTTAATGTATGCATTACATTGCAAATTCTGGCAGTGCCCATCCTGCTCCGAAAGGTCGTCTCCCAACAGGAGGATTTATTCATGGCCATAATGTGCGACATGGTCATCCAGTACTGGAAATGTAGAGCCATGGTTTGTATTGATGATTCCTGTTCGTCGTTCCCCTCTGCTGTTGATGTTCATATGCAGGGGAAGCACGAAGCTTCATGAAAATCAGCCTGAGGAAAGTTCAACTCTCTGCAGGGCTTGGTTGCCTCTCCTAACATTAACTCTTGTGCCCTCTTAAGGCTCAGGCTGCTTTTTCTTGCTAGGTTTCCTAACAGCCAAAGTTGATCCAACGTTAATGTGGGGTTGTTTTCTCTGCTTGCAGACATCCTCGTTGATGGAAAGCTTTGCGACTGTGACGTTGTGGTGGACTGCAAAGTTGGAGACCCTGTCCCACTGGAGGTGAAGCTGACCAACTGGAGCAAACACAGCGTGGGCCCTTTTGCTCTCACAGTGACACCCTACCAGGACTACCAAAACGGGGTGCACAACTATGAGCTGCAAGACGCTATCACTTTTGTGGGATCCAACACCTTTTACATTGATTCGGTGAGTCTTTCTACTGGACAGGTCATGTTTTGGATAGCGTGCATCGCGGTGAAAGCCGAGTCCCCAGGTAGATTGTCTTGCTTGATGTGATTGAACTTTTCTAAGGAGTGACACCGACAGCCTTGCAGCAGTTCTTTCATTTCGTTATGCAAATTTTCCTTGTGCTGCCCTAGCAAAGTGCTTTAATCATAACTTAATCATAAACTTAATTATAACCATCCTGAAAAGTAGTTCAACTTTAATCTCCCTGAATTCTAGGGCTTTTGTGAAAACCTTGTTAAGAGTTATAAAAGATCATTTGCAGGAAGGGGTTTCAGTATTTGCTTGTGCATTTTAAGGCAGGTTAATTTTTGGAAAGTACTACAATTATGGGAGCGCCTGCTGAAGATGTTTTTGAGTTTGGGGAGATGGAATCATCTCCCTGAAATGGTCAAAGATTGTAATTTTGTATGACATAAACTGCTAGTGAGCTATCCATGAGAGTAACGTTTTGGTCACTCCAGATCTGACTAGATGTGAATGAGTAACCTGGATAAGATGTTTAATGCCATATTGCCAGTCCCTTGGGCCATTCAGTGCAGCTTGCGGCAATAGATTTTAAGTAACTTTTTATTTCTAGCCCTTCAGAAATGTTCCTTAGGCTAATCAAAGGAACTCAGCAAAGTAGTTTTAGTTAGTCCCTGGGAAATGGGAAAAGAAAACGCTAAACATTAATGACCAGTCTGATAAGCTGGTTCATTTACTTGCCACATAGCATACTCTTATTAAGCTGTATATAAAAATAAAAAGATAGAAAATATATTTACAGGAGACCAATAAGTGCTTTTTTATAGAAGAACTGAGTTTTCCCACAAATACCTCTTCAGAAATTGCAAGTCCAGGAGGTTTTTTTGCTTCTAAGGCAAAATGCTGAAAATTCTTCCCAGATACAACTACTCCATCCCACATCGTTCCCCAAAGAGCAAAGATAACAAAATAATAATAATAAAAACAGAGGAGTGAAAAGCATAAGGAAAATACTGCTTTTTCCACTCTGCAATATTTAGAAAATAAACATGAAGAAGAAGGTGAGTGTGTGGGATAGTGTTTAAGACTTTTACTTAGGTCAGCTCTTCAGTTAGCTAATAGAATACACCTGTCAAAACTGAATATTGAAGGGAACCTTAGTAAGACAGAAATTATATATTAAATATAACCACAGGAATAGTGAGGTTAGATGCAGCTGTCTGGGTTTGCATCACAAAATTTCTGCTAGGATATGCTCACCTCAAAAAAAGCAAGCAAATATTATTTGAAGATTTTAATTGTATCAGAATATGTCCATATTTTGCATTTAGGCATCATGTGAGGAAAGTATTTTAAAAAGCTAATGAGTACAGAACACACCATCAATGGGGGTTTTAATGGGTGCTACCCATTTTCTTGGCTGAATAACTTAGATATGTCAGCAGGAGTACTCATGAGTCGGCTTTGCCTCTCTGACAACATGAATTTTTTAAATCAGAATTGCAGTGTTTCAATGGCAGCTGCCGAAGGGGTTGACCCTGAAGGCTAATGAGGGAAAAGGGAGATGTCAGTGTGATGTATTCCTACCTTCTGATTGAGTCTCCGATGGGGCGAGAAGTCAGGAGGTCACATCTCCTGTGCTTGGCCAGGCAGCCTTCTCATACGTTACGGGCTCCATATTTGCCCCAGTGCTCAGGATTGTGACATTTCTTCTGTAAACACAACCCCTGATAAGTTAAAAATAGAGTTGTTTTCTGCTATTTGTCCTCTTTTTCATTCAAAAAGGAGGAATGAAGCAAATGTTGACTCTTAGGCAAGAAGTGCTATATTTCACGGTTCATAGTGTTGATGTTTGTCCTCCACAGGCTCCCCCAGAAAACACTTACTCATATTTCTTTGAGGCATAGAGCACTGATGCTGGAAGAAAATTCTCCCAAGAGTGTAGCTAATGTTGTCAGAGGCCCTTTCATCCCCTGCAATAACTAATTCAGTTATGGGAAGAAAAAAAAAAAGATTTCAGGAAGCAGCACCTGGTTTGGGGACAAGAAAAAACGTCCTGGTTTGTGCATCTGATGCTTCAGGGAATGACGAGCATCCTCAGAATATGTTAATGCTCTGAGTTTGGCAGAAACTCAGACAGACGCCGTCTGAGGAACCAAAGAAGCTTACAATTGGGTGAGATGAAAGAGATTGATGGTTTTTCTTTTTATAAATGAGAGCTGAAATGTTAGACCAGATCCCCTGCTGGGGTACTCAGTGCTGCTTTATTGAACGTGTGCCCATTGCCTTTAGGAGCTAAAGTCACAGAAAGAGCATTATTTTGCTGGATTAACAGAGTTGGCTTGAGATATTCCCATCTCCCAGCTGTTTGTCCCCTTTGTGGGAAGTTGTCCTCCTCTTCCCCAGCAGAAGACATGGTGAGAGCCTTCATTTCGGCGTGGAGCCAACCAGGTTCGCCAACTCCCTTCATCAGCAGCTTAAGCTAATTAGGCTGACTTTACACTGACACTAGCAAGGAGGTGGTGACATGATTTATTGCTATGTTGAGCTGGGAGGGAGGCTGGAGAAGCAGTATAGGGTCTGGTACACAGGTAGTGGATGGGCCACAACAGCTGGGAGCATCAGGTGTTGGAGCATGAGTTGAAGAAGGTCCTCAAGCTCCAAAAATTTGGTCTGTTATCATGCTATTACAGAAACCAAAGCACTGCTGCTCTGAATTGAATGTGGCCTTTGGAGGACAGAAGAAGAAGAAAAGCTTTCAGAAACATTAATTCTTATCAAGCCAGATCTCTAATTGTTCAGCAAATCAAAATTATTTTTGTTTTCATAGAATGCTTAAGGTTGGAAGGGACCTCTAGAGGTCACCTAGTCCAACCCCCCTGCGCACACAGGGTCACCTAGAGCACGTGGCACAGGACTGCGTCCAAGCGGGTTTTGAAGATCTCCAGAGAAGGAGACTCCACAACCTCTCTGGGCAGCCTGTTCCAGGCTGTTTTCAGATTAAAGAGTTTCAAATCTCTTTCCACACCTATATGGAAGGCAGGGAATATATGCAGTATTTTTCATCATCCACACACTGCTTTGCGCAATGCGCGAAAATTGCTTCACGGGGAAAAGATAGAGGATTTTGTATTTCTCTTTCTTACGATTGGAAATCCAAGTTAGCTGCTTCCTCCTGGAGTCCTCTTCTGAGTGCTTATTTACCTTTCTCTGATCTTTAATATAATGCAGCAGTCTGGGTTTGCATCACAAAATTTCTGCTGGGATATGCCTACCTCAAAAAAGCAAGCAAATACTATTTGAAGATTTTAAAGGGTATTGGAATATGCCCATGCCTTTTGAATTACAGAAAATCTTTGTTTTTAAGCATAACTTTTAATTTGGTTATCTTTATCTTGCTATGTTTTCATTCAGCTGAAAAGATGACTTTATCAGTAAACATATAGATGTAGACCTTTTTTCGGTGGAAGATATTAAAATGTGAGACAGGATGGTGGACCCTCACCTATTCAAATACCTTTGCATTTGTTATTTTTTTCTCTCATTTTACAGCCTTAGGTTTAGCTTTAGATATATTATTGTAAATTCTTAGCTCGTATCAATATTTTGTCTTGAATAATTAGTTGATACGTTATGCAGATTACTGGAACCACCAGCAATTCATCTTTCCTTGTAGTTCTCCTTTTACCATTACTATTTAAAAACATTTTTCCTTGGGTCTGGTATCACTGCGTAACTCAAGTGGTAGTGGAAGATGAAGAAAAAATCATTAATGGATAGTCATTTTGAGTCAGCCCAGAAGCTATGATGAACATTTGCTCACTGCTGGCAGGTCCCCTGTGGCCCAGCTGGAACAAATTACTTTTCTTGGCACTGCTTTACTCAGACTGTAAACTCTTTGGGGCAGTGCACAGTTGCTGGCAGCAGCCCTGGTCTCCAACTGGGCTCCCTAAGCATTACAGCAGTAAAAATACAGCGTAATTAGTTCCTAGCGATCAGAGTCCCACATGGTAGCCTGAATAAGGGAAGGATTAGGACGGAGGTAGAAAATTTTTCTTCTGAGGAGCAGAGGTGGAATGTGGTCAGTGAGCCACTACTTTTCTAGCCATGTTTTCCTGGTGTGGCAGCTTCCCATTTCTGGTTTCCAGGCAGAAGATACAGCAGAAGAGCTTTAGTTGATGCTTGCTGACTCAACATCACAGACTAGCACAGCTTCTAGGCATGTATCGAAGCCGTGATTCCACAGGGATCACCATAGGATCCATGTGCTGCTAGATCAGTTGGCAATACAAATTTGGTCCAGGGCAGACGTGAGCACATGTTCTTTGTGCTTCCGTCAGATTCGCCGGATCATGCGCTGCAGTCTTCGTGCAAGGTGGGGTACAAGTGACCAGTGTCGTGCAAGTAAATGGAGAATGGGCAGAAAACAAGAGGGAAGCTTGTTTGATAGGTCTAATGAGTTGTTCTGGGATGTCCGGACTCAATCCCAGGGAGCAAGAACTTGTTGACAGTGGGGAAGGAAGATGCCAAAGATAGGGGTCAGGAGAACAGCTATGACACGCGTGGATGATACGATGCTGAGGTAAGTTTGCTGTGGGTCAGGAAAAGTGCTCAGCATCAGAGCCAAATGGAGCCAAAGCTCTGGCAGCTCTAGCGATGCTACTGCTTGTGAACAGCCAAACTCCAGCGTGGGAGCAGCAGAAAGGAGCACTTGATATCCCCATGGTCTATGAGGAGTGTGTGTCTGCTATCTAAAATTCAGTGCTGTCACTCCTGATAATGTTCATGGATAATCAACAAGTATCTGTTGAAGGAGAGACCTCAGTCCTGTCCACTTTTTTCTTTACAGCATGAGTTCCTATTTAGAATGAGAACTGGTTTTGTTTGGTGCTTCTTGCTGCACGATCATACAATGAAGTGATGAGCCCTGGGACTGGTTTGTTGGAAGTTACGTGCAAGGGAATGAAGTAGGATGGATGGTTAGGGGTGAACTGGGCTGAGCCTAGCCCTTTGCATCTACTCAGAAAACCCATAGAGGCAGTGGTAATCCAAACAGTTTTCAGCCTTTTGATATATTCTTGAAGTGCCCCACTTTCAAAGAAATTGCACTCCTTGAAACCTTTCCAAGTGGTTTTTTTCCCATATCTCCTCATGATCATCCTTCTTCACGACTTTCTAGGAAATGGCAAGGTGCCTTTCAGCACCCATAAACATTTCCCCAGCAAATCCTCAGTTTTTGATGTCCCAGTTTAAGATGGGACCAGCTGGTGAGCAGGGATCCTCCCCGTCCTTGACCACGTTGGTAGTCCCATTTTGAAGCTTTAGCCTTGTCCCTTCATTGCACCAGGAGTAATGAAGCAGTGGTTCCCTTGCAAAGATTTTCTCCTGAACGCAGTCAAGTCTAGTGCATGTGGTCAGCTTAGCTGTTGTGGAGGCAATGCTAGAGTTTCCACTGCAGTTAGATTTGGGTCTGGGTCGGAGTCTGATTGACCCGTCCTGCTCTCATTTGGCATCAGCCCTGGACACTGTGACATGGTGGGCTTTGAGGTGTTTGGAGGTGAGGTGTACTGGCAGAAAAGAAAGGCCCATTACCAGTGAGTATCCAAGTGAAAAAAGAAAGTATGCAGGCTTAGGAGAGAAGGGATAACACCTTGGGTTCATCTTAAGAGGGTGGCTTCCAGGTCCTGGGAGAAAAAGGGGACTGGTAAGGTGGTTTTGGTTGTGAGGTAAACAATACTGAAGAGCATCAGGTGCCTCTTATTAGATCAGTTTTGCTGGACTAAAGTTACCTCTTCACATTGTTTTGTTTTTGATTTTTTTTGTTTGTTTGTTTTATTTTGTTTTTTTGGAATAAATTTGGTCTGATGGAATTTGTGCTGATTCAGCTTTTTGCATCTGCGGCAGTTTTTACTCAATTCTAGGCACTCTGACACTGGATTTAACATCTTGTGGAAGCAGTGTATGAATTCAAAGACTGGCACATGCTGCATAGCAATGGGATTATTGAAGTTAAGAAGTGCTTAAATGTCTTGCTGAAATGGTGGATCAAGATATTGTTATTTGTTATTGCTATTTGTTATAACATGTTATATGTTATTATAGTGATATGGATTGCAAATGATTTGGGGATGAAAAGAGATAAATAAATGTGAAAACCGTGCTGATTCTGTATTTAATTAGGACAAGTTAAATTGGGAGATCTACTTTTAGTAGAGTGTTTCCCACCAACTTAATTAGTCCCATGATAGGGAATGTTAAATATTACTGGTTAGAATTTACAGTCAGATTGTGCCTTAATAATAATTGTGGATTAATTTAGTTATTGCTAGGTAGGCAAATGGTGTTTAAGCATGTGTTTAACAAAAGTTCAAAGCTTTGATTTAGACCTTGATATAGATATGAAAGACACGTAGATAAAGTAGTTGATAAATGTAGTCTAAGGGAAGATGTTTCTGGACATACAGGAAAACTGGAATTCCTTCTACCACAAACCAAGTCTGTTGTGTAATCAGGGACCTCTGAAGATCTGTCTTCTGGTTTGAGCTGTGCCACAGCTTTGCTGCAGAGGATGATAACATAGGATTTGATGATCAATGCTTCAGTTTTACCATTGTTAGAACAAGGGCAAGGTATTCACCTTTTCTTGTGGGAAGGCAATATTGAGAGGTTTAAAGTATGCATATTTCTAGAGTACTTTGGGATCACTTAGAGAAGCTGTTGAATTGAAAAGTACCATTACTTTGTGGTGTTGCTTGCTTGGTTTTACTGATTTTTCACCTTCTCTTTTTCAGGTGAAGCCAACCAAAGACTCTGTGTACTTTGGAGCACTTCTCTTTCTCTACACAGGTGACTTCTACCTGAATATCAAATTCCACGAGGACAACTGCAACAGGGATCTCCCTCTCTCCTGGTTCTGCCTTCCCAGTGTTCACATACGTGCGATGGAGCCTGTCATCCAAACTAAAGTGTAGATGTGCTGTGTGCTGGTTGATTAACAACAGTGCCCAGAAATGCTTGGCACAGTCTCTGCTTGACCCCAGCTTGTTTCTGTCCACCCCCCGGCCACAGTCCCTACTTTGGAGGAACAGCTGAACACTTTCTGAATTGGCTGGTAGTCATTTGGGCAGCTGCTTTAGCTAATTTCAGAGAGAAAGATTATAAATATGCTAGAGTTCTCTTCTGCTTCCAAAAAGCCTTTGAAACAGCTAATATGTGCATTATGCTTTCATACACCCCACTGATATCAGCGAATTTGAAAGGATCTTGAAGGCTGAATTTAACCTTGTATTTGAAGGTAGTGATTCCAGTTTGGATAGTCCTTCCTTATTGTTTCAGCAAAAGTTGTGTATCTGTATTAAATGCCTCCTGACATACAATGAACCTGTGGTGTGTAGTAGGTACCCTTGGGGTGTAGTTCTCCGTTGGGCTCCCAGGCTTGTTGTTATTCCACTTGTTTGTTGAGTATTTGGTGTTTTCAGTGGTAAATACTGGTAGTGATGCCTATTCTTGTGTTGCTTTGTGAAAGTAAGAATAGCAGATGTGCCTCCAGGTATTCTCGTCCTACCCTGAGCTCAGCGCCTCTGTTCCTGGTGGAGTCACTGCCTTTTATTCAGGAGATCTATGAACATGAAAAGAAGGATGGCAAAGAGGAAATAAATTTTTGTCCTTGAGAAGAGAAATAAGCCAACTGTTGGGTGGCTGGGGGCTAGCCTATCAATTCAGTCTATGAACTCATGTTTCCAAGAAGTCACAGTCACCAGAAACATTTACAGATCCTTGATGTGCCACCAGAATTAATCAGCTGACCATTTTTACCACTTTGTGTGAGTTTCGCAGACTCTTCTGATCAGGTATTTCATGATAATAGGCTGAGCTTGATTATGTGCTTTTTTTGTTTTGTTTTGTTTTGTTTTAAGAATGATTAAGTTTAATGATTAGGTAGTTAAGGCCATGGAATTCCTGACCAAAATAGTAGTTGCTGAATGTACTGAAGATTTAACTAGCTGTTTTTTTCCAAATAATGCTTTTGCATGGAGAAACCTGAATTTACTCCAGGCAAAACAGGGAGATATTTCATCTGCATGACTTATATGTTACTTCATGGACCATAGACTTCAAACATGGCTCTATCTTTTCTTGGATTTACAGCCTGCAGTTGCTAAAGCTGGTGGTAGAACCTCACAGAGGATGATTATGCCAAGATGTGGTGGGAAGCTCAAGTTAGCTCTGTCTGTGCTAAATCTACATGCACAAGTGTTTTTCTTTAGGCTTTATCCAAATGTGGATAGACTACTTCATGCCTCCATTGGTGTGTCTGCTGATGCCATGGAGCACTAGGCTGGAGAGCCACACTCTGGATCTCTGCACCATGTTCAGTCGGACTTGTGGTTATGACGGGTATTTTCAATAGGATCATGGCAGTGCTCAGAACTCGATTCATGGCATGTTTGCAAAAGGCTGGAATGTATTGATCCTGCATTTTCTTAATTTGAAGGAACTGTAGCTATAGCTTAATGGTTACATTCCCAGTGGGTGTTATCTTTCAACCTTGTATTGTGGCAATTTCATCAGTGTTCACTCTTGAGCTGTGGCCCTGCACAGGGCTTTGAATTCCAGAGTAGAAGTGTTCAGACATCAAGTGATGGAAATCTGAGGCTGGATGAACACTGGCTTGCAATGATGTGCCACTGTGTCAGCTGCCAGTGAGCAGCATCCGGTGACAAAATGGTTCCCTAGACTTACACAGTGGCTCTGGGCCGGAGAGACCAGTGAGAAGAGGGTCCAGGCAGCAGAGCCAGGTACGTCCTGTGTCATGAAGCTGAGTCTCTGCCACTAGATAGTTGTGTATGCATAAAATAAGATCCCAGGAGAACAGGAATTAGACTGTTTACTCTTCTCCATAAAAGCCTGCTTTTGACATGTGTCTCTGTACTATGTTACACAACGCTGTTGCCACAAAATCCAAATTGTGTTTTATTCAGTATTCCCAGCAGGTAGTCTGCAGATGCTGGGAGTACAGCTAAGGCTTTATAAGGGCCACATTGCATTTAAAGCAAAAATACTGTGAAGCTGATGTTGCTGCAGTTAGGATGCTTCAGCTTGCCCAGCTAAGGGAGCTTCTCATAGCTGGGTTTTGAGAGTAGTCCATGAGAACAGAGGGTGTGTGGTGAAGTCTGTACTGAGGCACAGCCTTTGCTTAAAAAGGGGCAGTAGGTACTCTTAAATTTAAGCATTTATGTGTGAGCAGACCCTCAATGGTCTGTTCATTGTACAGAATAGTGCTCTGTCCCCTGTCAAGTTTGATGGTTAGTTGCTTTTGGCATTTATGATATCTTTTCCAGTTTTCTTACATTTCTACTTGTCTTGGTGAGAGAGATAAAACACAAGAAATTCTTCCTTCTGGGGATCATTTGTGACTTCTCCAGAAGGAAAATGTTAAAGTGTCAAGTAATTTGGAGAAGGGTGAGGGGAAGGTACTTGAGAATGAGAATGAGAATACCGCATGACTTTTTGTTTTCTTTTTAATGGAAGCTTTTGCTGGAATTGCTGTCAGGATTGGTGCTCACAGTGGTTTGAATAAAGGATGATAGTTTTCTGATATACTCTCCCTTTCTGGAACTGAAAACTTGTTTTTGTATCTCGGAACCATCCAGCTATTATTTTGAACATGACGAGCCAATCTGTACATTGTTACACAGCTGTAAATCTGATGTGATCCTACTTAGTTGAATTAAATCATTCCTAATATAAATCATTATTGCTGAGAGCATTATATGTATGTGTTGGAGAAGCATAAACCATATAAATTTAATTATCTGAATAAATGCTTATCGTGTTATTTACACCTTTGCCTGTCCATTCTGTTTATAATTCTTAATAGTGTTCATGTGTGTTTTTATTGTTAATAATGATAATATATCCCATGATGCTGGGATCTCTGAAAGAGAATATATGTGACCCCGGACTGAAATTTCAGAATTCAGAGCTGATGAAGGATGTAAGTTGGGATCCTGGCTGCCTCAGGAGGAGCATTGCCAGCAGGTCGAGGGGGGTGATCCTGCCCCTCTCCTCAGCTCTGGTGCGACTGCACCTGGAGTATTGGGTGCAGTTCTGGGCTCCCCAGTACAAGAGGAATGTGGAGCTTCTAGAGAGGGTCCAGCGGAGAGCCACAAAGATGATTAAGGGACTGGAGCATTTGTCATATGAGGAAATTCTAAGCGAGCTGGACCTGTTTAGTCTGGAGAAGAGAAGATTGAGAGGAGATCCGATCAATATATACAAATACCTGAGGGGAGAATGTAAAGAAGATGGGGCCAAACTCTTCTCGGTGGTGGCCAGTGACTGGACGAGGGGTAGTGGGTGCAAGTTGAAACGCAGGAAGTTCCATCTCCATGTGAGGAAGAACTGCTTTCCTGTGAGGGTGACAGAGCCCTGGAACAGGCTGCCCGGAGAGGCTGTGGAGTCTCCTTCTCTGGAGATCTTCAAAACCCACCTGGATGCACCCGCATGCTCTAGGTGTCCCTGCTTGAGCAGGGGGGTTGGACTAGATGATCTCTAGAGGTCCCTTCCAACCTCAACCATTCTGTGATTCATACTGCAACTCCTGAATATGTCTCTGTCCAGCAGGTACAAGGTGAGCGGAGTAACATGTGCTGCCCAACACTTACCAGCCAGTCTATCCTGTTAGCTGAGGTGAAGAAAGATGCGAACTGCCCAGGGCATTAAGGATGTTTTGCAGTGCTCTGGGATTATAATTCATCTCTTTGGCATAGGTGGGAATTGGAGATTTTTCTGGCTTGCATCTTCTAGGGAAAAAAAAGAATCGTTTCAAAACATATTTTAGATGTTAAACTGGATTTTGGCTCTTACATTATGTCTTAGAAACATCTCACGATGCTTCAGTTGAATGGGACTTTACCTATTTAATAACCATCTGGTGTTGCTTGGAGGGATACTTAGGCTAGTATGTTCATGATGCATCAGATTCCTAACACCAGTAGAACTGGGACTGTATGTAGATGCCACCATCAAGTATATGCTGGTAACTTTTTGTCCCAGTCCCATGCCTGATTCAGCAAGGTATTTAACTTTTAAGTTCCGGTAACTTTGGAATTAAGGCCCACTTACCATTACCAATTTCATGGACTATCTTATTACTGGATGACCGCTGGCTCCCAGGAACAATGACAGAATGAGGAGAGGTGTCATCAAAATCCGGCACTGTCATTTAATACATGAGGGACATATATAAAATGAGTCTGGCAGTGGAGAAGAGCCCTCCAGGACATCATGTCTTTAGTGTGTACCTATACAAACCATAGTAATGAACCTTGAGGGTATAAAGCATATGAGTGCACCTGCTTGGCAAGTCGTAGATGGTTCCTCTCCTGTTTGCAGTTCCTTTTCCAAGAGTTCCTCTTCCAGGTCGTGTCTCCTCTCAGCCTCCCCTACTCCACATGCACAGGAAATCTCCCTAGTCACTAACCAGCAACTCTGCTCATCGCTCAGAAATTACCTGGTCCAACCCATAAAAGAGGCTTCATGTTATGCATATGCTATTGGTGAAGAAACACAGCACCACTGTTTTGGAGTGGTGGATCCTCTGAAAAGAAGAATTTCTTAAGGTCCCATGTATTCTGATATCATGGCTGTAGAAGAGCTAATTGCAGCACTGTTCACTGTGTGTTCAGTTTCAACAAAACATCTTCGGTGTTACCATAAGGAAATCAGGTCAATTATTTAAATGTTTAGTGGTGAGTGTCTTGTTAATGGATGTGAGGAAGCTATCACTGATCAGTGTCTGAAACACGGCCCTTCTGTTGCCCAGAGTCTACCCTTTTTCTTATGGCATGATCCATATGTGTAGGGAGTAGTGAAACAGAGCAATCTCTGTTGAAGCCCATGAGGCTGCAGCACCCCAGGTGACAGACACATCTGCATGGCTGTTTGGGGACAGAAAGGGGTCAATCGGCAGTGGGAGAAAGGGCAGTTTGAAAAGGAAATAAAAGTGCCATGGGGCTACAACCGGAGATGGCCAAAATAAGTGGATCAAGGCCAAATGGCTTACGTAATTCCACTACGTTAAAAATAGGTTACACTGTATATTAAGATTTTATTTATAAATTGTTTATAAAGCATTCATAAATGTTAAATGCTGTAAGCACATTATACAAACAAATACTTCATGTTCCAACATTATCGATGGCTCTGTGTACAGCTGCAGCAGATATTATAGATGGTTAAGTCAGAGCTCTAGAGACCAACAGTTCAATAGCAATATACAGTAAATGATTCATCAATCACTTAAGCATGTATTAAGCATTTATGTGTTCTTTATAAATGAAACATTGATCTGAAGTGTGACCTTAAGATGTTTG